TGACCCCTCTGGGTACTCGATCACCTACGAGTACAACTTCGGCCACACGGTGAACGTGTTGCCAAGGGGATCTGTCATGGGAAGAGAGCTGTCGAAAAAGACATGCGCAGAGAGATACTCGATGGAAAACGAATTATGGGAAGCATGGACATTGTATATGGTTCAACCCTTCGCCTATGAAACATGGCTACAACTCCTGGCATATACGATTGCACGTCCACGTGGCATACCTTTGGCAAGCTGCAACCACTGATTCGAGTACAATGTGTTGAGCCTTTTGGAAGAGCTCCACTTTCTGGAATGGTTCCATGTCGAGGTCTGTGATTGGGATGAGCGCGATCAAAACTCTCCCGTGATCCTTCCACCGGAGATGGAGAGGGATGTTGATACATGTCAAGTAGAAAGCCCACGCCTTCAGGCGTTCATTTCTACAGAGGAGAGTCTCGTCACTAGAAAGTATGAGCGGACGCACCAGCTCGTCAGATGACAACCCAACCTGCACAAGACAATAGAGGGAGGTACGAAAAAGGCACACACATTGCATTGTGGTTGGAAACATCAACCACTATCCTGATAACTACACTCGCATGTGACAACCCAATGCCACTCACCGTCCATTACCTGCCACTCACTTTCATTTCCCTGCCATGCACATTTCATTCCCTGCCACTCACCTTCATTTCCCTGCCATGCACATTCCATTCCCTGTCACTCACCTTCATTTCCTTTCCATGCACATTCCATTCCCTGCCACTCACTTTCATTTCCCTGCCATGCACATTCCATTCCTTGACACTCACCTTCCTTTCCCTGCCATGCACATTCCATTCCCTGCCACTCACCTTCTTTTCCCTACCTTGCACATTCCATTTCCTGCCACTCACCTCCTTTTCTCTGCCTTGCACATTCCATTCCCTGCCACTCACCTTCTTTTCCCTGCCTTGCACATTCCATTCCCTGCCCATCACCTTGTTTTCCTTGCCTTGCACATTCCCTTCCGTGCCACTCACCTTCTTTTCCCTGCCTTGCACATTCCCTTCTTTGCCACACAGCTGTCCCGCTCTCGTTGCCACTGCTCTCTTTTCCATCACACATTCTCATTACACCTTTGACATGTCCAGTAAAGAGCGTACCTGCGCTTCCTCCCAAAATGTGCCTGACTGTGCAGGCCCGTATACCCACTCGTCGTTTTCCATGTCCCGTGCCGCACGGTGGACAAACCCATCCGTGTTTTTGGGGTCACGCCACATTCGGAGCAATGCATGTGGAGCAGAGTTGATAGATACGTCATAATGGTTTAGTGGGTATACTCGGAACGTGGAAAATAACACTATGATGTAGCATAGTTAGTGCATACCTCGATGGGGTCAATGTACTTGAGTTTGAAAGCGGCAGGCCGATCATCCACGCGGATTTCTGCAGTCTTGACGTTATTCATTTGAATGCCCAACGTCTCCAATGCACATTTGTCAACCGCGTGTTTACCATTCCAAGTGCGCAACTGTTCAAGGCAGAAGTCTAGATATTTGATTAATTTGAAAAAAAAAAGATATGTCACTTCCAAACATGTCGGCGCCTTTGTTGCACATTGACAAGAACCGAAAAGTTTCCCTTCGTGTGTCAAACCTCCGGTGCAATAGCGTCTCCGCCATCTCAGCAAAACATGGGTTAAATTCGTCGCGACCATCCGCTCCCTTGATTGGCCTATCCACATAAATTGGTGGTGCACCACTGTTATCCTCACATGATGGGGCGAAACAGTGATCAATCGGTGGTGGGAGCACGGGAGCATCTACTGCTGCTAGTTCAACCAGGATACCAGTTTTCGGGATAGGACCATGGTCATGGCGAGGCCTTTTGTGAGGACATGATGCTATTCCTCGCTCGCGATTCATAAGTGAGGACTCAGAGAAGAAAGTTGCATTGCAATCGCATTGGTACTGCGCCATGATCTGTCCACACAAACCAATTATTAGAACAAATGTGACCGCGAATGCGAGAGTCAATACCGTCACGACTGTAGCCAAAAGGATTGTCATAGCTTTCTAGAAAGTCAAAATAGCAGGCACAAAAAGCACTCACCAAGGCAGCCCAGAGAGTGACGACTATTACTTTGGCCAACAAAGGCACTACCATATTGCAACTATTCAACCGCATGAATCGCGTGTGCAGTGCATAGGTGCGTGAGTGAAGCTCATAGTGTGTGAGTGTGACTTGGGTTTGAATGCCAGTTGCTGGCTTTGCTTTAGTTTGGTGTCGGGGCTGGAAAACTAGAGGAGCAGGCTCACCACCTGGGTGACAATGAGTACCGTACCGTGGCATCGAGTCGCAAAAGTCGCGACATGGTGCCAGCGACTTGGTTTGGCTTGTATGGGGTACATATTCAAAAAGAGAAACTCAAACAACAACAAGAATATGCTGCTGCCATATAAAGCAACATGTATTAATGGTACGTAAATATATTATACAACGTCCACGGCCCAAAAAATCATATGGTAAATGATACAACAAACGAGACATACACACCATATGTTGTAGATGTTCTTGCATCTAATTGAAAATGTTGATTGATAGGTGAAACATCAAGATAATGATTCTAGCAACCTAATCAATGCTCTCGTGCCTTCGGTTATAGTTTGATCTCCTATTTGATTCTGGTCACCAAGCTTGAGCAACACACAATTCTAATGCCATAGTCCAATCTGTAAAAACAACACAAGTGTATGCACCTACAGAAATCGACATAGCTTACGCTGTGATGCTTACTAATCACGGAGCCTACAACAAATATACATTAGAAAAAGAGTTAATAGAGCATGGTAATGGAAAAAACCCATCACTTCATGTCATTTACTAGTGCATCGATCAGTGCGTGTGCGTATTGCCTTGCTGACCTCAGCGAGCACCATATTCGACCTTTCCATCCAGAGATCAGTTAGTTGCTGATCCACTCGAGCAACCCATTCTATTTTACGCCTAAACATGTATTCTTTGCGCTCTTTAAGAAAGTAGTTCAAAGCCGAATCAGAGATTAAAGGCAAACCATCGTCTTTTGCCATCCTCTTGACAATGCAGGCCGCTGTTAGAATGAACAAGAGTGATTGCACTAGGAAAGAGTTGGGTACAAGTAGGAAACCCTAAACTTACTGTACCCCATAGTAACTACCCCACTACAGCCTAAACAAACGGTAGTAGACATAACATTTGACACACCCCCATAGGCAAAGTGGGGGAGAGCAAGGGGTCACGAGACCAGTCAAGAAAGGCAAAGCAAGCTCAGGGTGGATCACAACGTCACCACACACTCTGAGCACAAGCAAAGGGCCACAAGGCCAGTCCACATGCAGAGGCATATATGCAACACAATCGGCACAGTGATCTCTACCTAGCAAAGCAAGCATGCAGGTATATATATATAGATCACAGTACAAGCAAAGCCTAGAGCAAGTGAGGAAAAGTGGGCACAGGCCCTAGCATAGTGCAGAGACGTTGATGGTCACCAGACTGAAGTGCCTTGGTGAATATATCAGCAGTGTTGGCCCGAGTGGCCACGTAACGCAGACGAAGCTGACCACGCTGCTGCAACTCTCGAGCCAGGAAGTAACGCAGAGCGATGTGCTTCGTTCTGTGCTCCACTCTGTGCTCCTCAAACAAGGCAATGGTAGCCTTGTTGTCGACGTACAGCACTGGAGGAGAACGAGGCCGCTCTCCCAAGTCGGTCACCAGGTAGGTGAGCCAGCGTAACTCCTGTGCAGCCATGGCTGTGGCGTAGATCTCAGCCTCACAACTGGAGCTGAGAACTGAAGACGAACATGTAGAACGCCAAGAAACTGAACTAGAGCCAAGGCTGAAGGTGTAACCCTGTGACGACCGCTACGTAGCCTGGTCGTCAACCCAAGAAACATCTGAGTGCCCAGTGAGGACAACTGAGCTCCTCCCTCCAAGCACGAGTCCCATGCCTGATGTACTGCACAAGTAGCGCAGTACCCTCTTAGCAGCATCCATGTGCACCTTTCGATGCCGACCAGGAGCCACGTAGCGAGCCAGAAGGCCCAAGAGGGTACGCGAGGTGAGGACGAGTGCAAGTCATCAGGTACATGAGGCAGCTAACTAGCTCTGGGTAAGGACCACTCGGCTCTACGGACTCGTCCGAGGGTTCGTGCCGCTTCGTTGCTCCCTCGATTTTCACCTGAACCGCGTGCCCCCCCGAAAGCTTTGTATGCGGGTCCGTCGCTTCCCTGCCAAACCGCGCTGACCCCCAAGCGATCGGATCTCCCTTCCCATACGAATCCATCTGCTCGCGTAACGCAGCATACGTGTCGGTGGCTTTCCAATCATGAGGGCTTGATGGACATCGTTGCCCCATGGACTCGTAAAAATCCAACTCCCGCTTCTCCTTGCTACGCACACCCACAATTTTAGCTTCGAATCAAGGTCTCTGGCGCTTGCCATGTGGTTTGGCACGACGCACACTCTGCTTATAGCTCTTCACCCGTCCTGTCTCCGGTTTTCGCTTTCCATTGCCCTTCTTGGTCTTCCGCACACCCCTCCTCTTCAAAGGCCGAGCATCCTCCGCATCCTCGCTCTCCGGCTCCAACTCCTCATCCTCCTCTTCCTCTTCCTCCTCCTCCTCGTCCTCGTATACTTCCTCACTCCCGGATGAGCTGCCTGACTCACTGTCACTGGATCCCTCCTCCGAACCCGACGAGCTCGAAACATACTGTTTCGTCCCTTGTCGAGCTTGTCTCGCATTTCGGTCGCGACCGGCCGAGTTCACAGCATTGCGTCGTTTGTACGGAATCACAGCTTCACGTCTATGTTCTTTCCCAGCAGTCACTACTGCAGGCTTGTCCTCATCCTGATCGATACCGCCACCACCTCGCTGCTCTGCTAGCCCTGCAGCGAGAGGGATATGAGAGAGACAATCTCGGTGTCACGTCACTCACGACATAGTTGCTGGTGCAACAGGTAACAATATACAAGGAGGGTGGCAGCGAAGGCTATGCAACCTCAAAATCAACGACATAAGTAGCCAGGAACCGCCAACCTTCTATAACGGGCCTGGGCAGCGCCTGCTCGTCGCCACCAGCCACATCCAGCGAGAGCCTCCCCGAGGGACTGCCCTTGGCCGCCGCCGCTGCCTTCTCGTTGTTGCGCTTTCCACCACCACGCCCTTCAAGCTCGCCATGTTCCTGCTCGTCGCCACCAGCCACCTCCTGCGAGAGCCTCCCCGAGGGACTGGCCTTTGCCGCCGCCGCCTTCGCATTGTTTCGCTTTCCACCACTACGCCCTTCAAGCTCGCCATGTTCCTGCTCGTTGCCACCAGCCACGTCCTCCGAGAGCCTCCCCGAGGGACTGCCCTTGGCCGCCGCCGCTGCCTTCTCGTTGTTGCGCTTTCCACCACCACGCCCTTCAAGCTCGCCATGTTCCTGCTCGTCGCCACCAGCCACCTCCTGCGAGAGCCTCCCCGAGGGACTGCCCTTTGCCGCCGCCGCCTTCACGTTGTTGCGCTTTCCACCACCACGCCCTTCAAGCTCACCATGTTCCTGCTCGTCGCCACGCGCAGACATTCCTAGGCGGCCAGATGGACTGCCATGATACTCCGCAGCCCTCCCGCTACGGTCATAACATCTACCGCGTTGTCCTGCACGCCTGCCTGCTGACGGAGCTGCGAGGGCGGACATCACAAGAACATTAGCAGTCCAGTGCACGCTAACCTTAATTGCACGAAGTGGCATCAGTATGATCAGTCGATGCAGGGAGTAACGTGCTACTTAGGAACCGGCGATATTACACAAACACGCACCTTCTTTGACGGGTCCGCCGTCCTCGACCTCCTCGTCGCCTTCAGACGCAGCATGGGAAGTAGTGCCTCTCTTTTGTTGACGGCGCTTACGCCCCTTTCGGTTGTCACGCTTGTCCTCTGACAATGTTACGGGGGAGCACAATCGGAGCTTCAGTAACGGGAACAAGTCAAACACGACGGCAAACCGCACTTACTGGATCGGTCGGAGGTAATTAATCATGCAAGTCTACCTTTCAGCAGATGGTACCAAAGACACGTACCTTTCTGGCCGGCTTTGGGACCGATGTCATCTAAGCGCCTCACGCGCCTCTCCTTTGGTTTTGGAGGGGAGGACACGCCCTTGTTAGCGTATGCCCCAACATCGCCGTCGCTATTTGATTCGTCACCAGATGAAGAGTCCCGTCCTGACTCAACGTCATCACGCGCCGACGACGCATTGTACTTGCGGTACTCGTTAACGATCTCGGCCGTTTTATCTACTGTAACTAACTCCATATAAATTTTTTCCTCCGGCAATTTCGACGAGTCTGCCAAAACGATTGCCCCATTGGGCCCCTTAATCGTCTGACTATCCATTGCAATGTCTAGGTTTCCATTCACGCAGTAGTCTGAGGTGTGTGTTAGTTATGACGTTGCAACCTGACGGCTACGCTTCGCGCACTAAAAAATTGTTGAGCATAGAAGGGACGAGGATCAGACAGGGGCCTGGAGCAGATGACCGTCCCACAAGCAGGCACGCAAGAGGAGCACGGAGGTGACGAGGGTTTGAGTGTTTCCTGCTCTGTTCCACCTTGCGACATCCAGGTCCCTCGTTTCCCCAAACAACCAATCACACGGTGGTTAACGTGCATCCATAAAAAAATTGAGGCTCCAATGGGGCATGATTAAGTGGGAGTGGGCGTTTATCCGTCCAGTAGCGGCAGGGAGCGATACAAAATGTTGCTAGTGCTTAAACGTGCGCTAGTGTATTAGGGCTCACGAAAGATATCTATTCTGCCCGCACAGACTTTATGTGGCTAATTTTCATAGTCTTCCACGCGTGCCTCACGAAGCTTGGCGCAGGCGTCACGTCAATAGTAAAATCGCCACTTCGGAGAAACGGGGACGAACCATTGGCGCAATTCGTACAGCGATGCGACAGTCTGATACGAAGCCGTTATGGAACACCTGCGATAAGAACGCATGCTCGGGAGTTAGTTGTGAGTGGTGGCGATTGGGTCGCAAGTCGGAGAGAACAACGTTCGTGGCAATTAACTGAGGTACGTGGTATGGTGCACGGGGGGCACAAAATGACACATTTATTTGCAAGGCTGCAATACAGTGTTGAAAGTACATATAAATCATTACTACCAAAGGAATGTTGAGCTGTCCAATACCGTACGTTTACTCACAAGTATGAGCACCGACAGTGCATAACCAGACACATCCTTCACGGACCAACTGTCAAATTGTTTAAGGAGAGCAGTGACCCTGTTACCTTGATTGTTGTTTAAATATGGTCTAGGTTAATAATATATTGGTGTCGCAACAAGGTAGCTACTGGTATGTCATTTGTGGTGCAACATTACCAGTGCCATACACAAACAGTTGGGCTGAAAAGCCCTTAGGATCTTTGCAGGGGTGAACTCTGGGTAGACTTGGTGTAGTAGCGGAAGCGTTAATTAAAGTGTTGTGAACCACCTTGCGCTTGTATGTGAGGGCAAAGTAAATTGATTAAAGCAAAGAGATACAAGATTATATAAGAGTACAAGGAATACGAAGAGATACGGTTGCAACTACTTTACTGTTGCTGTTGTGGTTCGATACAGTGACGACTCGGGCAACTGCTCTGCAGCGAGTCAGTTGTGTGTCCTTGCTGTCGCGCTGTACTTGTCAGGTCAAAGGTCGCTGACCTTTGACCTGACCGTAACCTCCGACAGTTACTTCATCCTCCGAGGGTTGACTCGCTGGTGCTTCGATACCGTAGTGTTTTGCTTCGTTTGTGTTTTGGTGTTTCGACACGACACAGGCGCTTAGGACCGATTGTTTCCAACACAAACTCCCATCATGGGGCGTCTCTGCACTGTTGTCCTGTAGGGCAGCTATAGTGCATAAATAAATTGCTTGATGTGTTGTATGTTCTTATTTCATGCTTGAGAGGAGGTGACAAACACTTGCTGTTTGGTCACGTGAGTGATGGGGACTGTTTCGAAGCCTCACCCACGCGTTCTGTGACTTGCTTGTTGGCTTGTCACGATGGACTGGACGGTGGGACAAACAGATCCTCCTTATAGGTCTTGTTTGACAACATAGGCCCAATAAGTTCACCCTATGCTGAGACCTGCTACCCGCCTCATCCCCTCCTGCTCCCTGCTACCTGCCTATGCCTCATTCCCCCTTGCTACCAGCCTCATTCCCCCTTGCTACCTGCCTCGTTCCCCCTTGCTACCTGCCTCATGACCCCTTGCTATCCACCTCATGCCCCCTTGCTACCCTGCTCATTCCCCCTTGCTACTTGCCTCGTTCCCCCTTGCTACCTGCCTCATTCCCCCATGCTACCAAACTCATTCCCGATTGCTACCCGCCTCATTCCCCCATGCTACATGCCTCATTCCCCCATGATACCCGCCTCAATCTCCCTTCCTACCCGCCTCAATCCCCACTTCATACCCGCCCCATTCTCCCTTGCTAACCACCTCATTCTCACATGCTACCCGCCTCATTCCCCCATGCTACCCGCCCCATTCCCCCTTGCTACCCGCCTCATTCCCCCTTGCTACCTGCCTCATTCCCCCATGCTTCCCGCCCCATTCCCCCTTGCTACCCGCCTCAATCTCCCTTGCTACCCGCCTCATTCCCCCTTGCTACCTGCCTCATTCCCCCATGCTTCCCGCCTCATTCCCCCTTGCTACCCGCCCCATTCCCCCTTGCTTCCCGCCTCAATCTCCCTTGCTACCCGTCTCAATCCCCACTTCATACCCGCCTCACTCCCCCTTTGCTATCAGCCTCATCCCCCTTCGCTCACCCTATCATTCTCATTCCAGTCGCGTTCCACCAAGCTCCCCGCCCCATTACCAGCTTAGACAACACCTGATACTGCAGTATGTGCACACAAGAACGCACATTCAATGCTCTCACTTCTTACCCCTTAAAACATCAGATAGGGCAGTATGTGCACAAAAATGGCCCTGCAATGCTCTAATCTCCCCCCCTACAAACCATCAGTTAGTGCGGCACGTGCAAATGAGCCAATATAAGCTCCTATCATATCCCTCCTATTCGATTGACCCCCCCTCCCCTTCCCCCCCCCAGCCATCACCAGATAGTGTAGGTGCAGTACCTCGGCGAACTCAGTGCCTCTGCAAGGGGGGCGAGGGGTGCAGTGAGAGGAGCATGGGATGGGTGCAGTGCAGCAAACGCATTGAGGACAGAAGGTTGAGGAGTGGAGAGGGTGAGGGGAGTATACGAAGAAAGGCGGCTTAAGAGGGAAAGCGGATGAGGGTAGGGGTTGGGAGCAGATGGGCAGAGAGGATGGACAGAGAGGATAGGAGGAGAGGATGGGAGGAGAGGATGGGAGGAAAGGAAGAACCATCCAAAGCAGGTATGAACATGTGTAATGAGGACGGCTGCATGATTGCTATTTGGCATGTTGGGTTACAATACACTAAAGAAGCTTGTGAGTGAGTTACGTGTAGAATTTCCATTCCCAAATCATCAAACCTGATCCATCCGAACATCCACAGTCTAGAAAGATCCTCCTGAGCTTTCTTTGTAATTCCCCTTCATCCCTCCGGCCTTTCTTGGCACTCTGTCTTGATGCAGCTTGCTTTCCACGAAGCAGCATGCTTCATTTCTTGCTTCTTGGTGGATTATTATTACTGCTTCTTGCTTCACCTCCATTGTTGTTACTGCTCACGATCTTCAAATGCTTGCAATCACCTCACCATTGCTGAAACCACCTGGGTATTCCACTTGCCATGCTGAAAGCACCTATGAACCTCACCTCTTCTACTGAAACCACCTGAGGACCCCACCTGCTCCGCAATAATGCCGAGGCCAAGCGCGTTATTGATAGACTCTCAGTTCATCACTCCCACCACCAGATTGGGAAGTCGATACTCCAGCATGTGAGGGGTGCAGCAAGGGGAGATGCAGCGAGGGGGAAGCACAGAGAGAGGGGTAGAGAGGAATAGGCAGGGAAGGAACAACACATTGCAAACTAACATATGGCTTTGACGGTCTCTTGGTTCATCATCCCCTCCACCAGATTGGGCAGCCGATACTCCAGCCTGTAAGGGATGAGAGGCAGAGAAGAAGCAAAGGGGGCAGAGGCAGAGCGGAGACTGGTGAGTGGGCTCAAAAGTCACCTCGGTAAGTGGGCAGCCAATACCCCAACCAGCCTGCAAAGGATGAAGCAAGGGTAGAGAGAAACATACTTCTGCGGAACGTACCTGTGACCAGAATAAAAGACCTCTGCCTCAAGCGTGGAATATTATTATTATTATTATTATTTAATGCAATGATACACTATAACAATGTACAGGGCATTGGCAGTCATAACTGTGTTCTTAGGGAAACGCCGCAGCACCGAGTACAGCGGCTTCCCTTCAGTGAGCCAACGGTGGTTGGTGCGTCTGCTTCGAGTTATCCCAGATAGAGTTGAAACTGCTCTTCCACATCAGCGGCGCTGCCTTGCTGCAGATTTGCCTCATCACCGCCGCCTCGTCAGCTTTTTGGAACTCCCACTCGCTTCTGCCACCCGATGTACCCCGCTTTCTTGCAGCCACTTGCTTAGCCAAACAGTATACTCTTGCATGTGCGGCATACTTGACCACCACCTACCGCAGCACTCGCTTTAGTTGAAACTGGATGTCCCAATTTATCACGTCGCATCTTGCCAGCCACAGATGAAGCGTGGTGGCGATGAAAGAACTCTCCGGGATTCCTGACCATGTACTCCTCTGCATGAAAAGAAAATCCTTGAGCCCTTGCCAGCCATGCTGTGGATTCATAGCGCCCAGCCCATTCCGCAGGAACCTACCTTCTGAATTGCTGGGCAGCCGAGCACGCAGTGCTCCAGTTTCTCCTCCCCTTAGTAGTGCGGGCAGACTACCTTGTTTGTCAAGAAGGAAATGTCAAATGTTATATCTGCTATATATGTCTAGGCTGTAGTGGGGTAGCCAATATGGAGTACAGACCACTTTAGGGTTTCATATTTGTACCCAACTCTTCCATAGTGCAATCATTCCTGCTGCTAGATTATAACATGGTTTCAGAGCACTAAGTCTGTAGGACCATCTTTTTTTTTTCCGGGCCCACCTACCGTTGCGGTTACCACACTACCCCACGTGTTGACTGCCTTGCCTTGTGACGTCCTGCGCTGCGCGCGCCGTCCTGCAGACCTCGCGCTCCCTACTACTGCCCTAGGCTAGCGCGCCGCCCCTACAGGCCCGTAAGGCCCACGCGCCGCCCCTGCAAACTCGTACGGACCGCAAATCGCCCCTGTAGGCCCATCA